CCCTCGTGGTGTGCGGCCCCCAGGCCTCGCCCGAGCCTTCGGGGCGCCACGGCGCAGCCCAGCCGAAGCCGCACGGCGACGTTCGGAGCCTGTGGACCACCGCCACGCTGTCGCAGGCGCAGCTGGACGTGCCGCTGTCCAAGGTCTTGGACTCAGGGGGCCCCGGCCGGGGCGGCGGGAGGCGCCTCTGGGAGGACGAGGACGAGGACGCGGACGAGGACGAGGACGCGGACGAGGACGCGGACGAGGACGAGAGCGACGCCGAGCCGGAGGGGCTGGAAGAATACTCCCTGCTGGCGCTGGAAACTCACGGGGGCCGGTCCGCGGAAGCCAAGTCCGCCGAGAAGGGCGACGATGTCAAGCCCGCGACCGGTCAGTGTGGCCTCGCCGGGCCGGGGCGCCCCAGGGCCGGGGGGTGGCCAAAGCCTCGGTCTCCGAAGCTGTACACGGGGGCACGCTGGCAGGATCCAAGTTTCTGGGTTCCCCAGGAGAGGGTGCGGCGCGAATCGTTGGCGCTTTAGATCAACCAGACGTTCCCGGAGCGCCCCTACCGGCAGCGGCGAAACAGGCCTTTGGGCCGGGCAGCCCTGAGGATGCGCAGGGGTTGCCCTGTGGGACCTGAGCGTTTTTATTTATTTATTTTGGTTTTGGTTTTTTTGCGTTGGAGTCTCACTCTGTCGCCCAGGCTGGAGCGCAGTGGCCGCTCCCGGCCACCGCAGCCTCGGCCTGCTGGGCTCCGGCCATCCTTCCGCCTCAGCCTTCCGAGTAGCCGGAATTACAGGCGCGCGCTACCACGCCCGGCTGATTTTTTTATTTATTGTGGAGATGAGGTCTCACTGCCCAGGCCGGTCTCGAACCCGCGGGCTCAGGCAATCCACTCACCTCAGCCTCCCAAAGGCGCGGGATGACAGGCTGAGCCACCGAGCCCGGCTGCTTTTTTATTTTTTGAGTCAGAGTCTCACTCTGTCGTCCAGGCTGGAGCACAGGGGCACGCTCACGGCCACCGCGCCTCGACCTGCTGGACTCCGGCGATCCTTCCGCCTCAGCCTTCCAAGTAGCTGGAACTACAGGCGCGCGCCACCACGCCCGGCTAATTTTTGTGATTTGTTGTAGAGACAAGGTCTCGCCAAGTTGCCCAGCCTGGTCTCAAACCCCTGGACTTAGGAAATCCTCTCACCTTGGCCTCCCAAAATGCTGGGATTACAGGCTTGAGCCTCGGCACCCGGAGGACTTTTAATGGAATCATCATGCCAATTAAGGGAGTTAACTCCCTGTCTGAGGATTTGCGCTGGTTGAGGTGTTTGTCTTTCATGTAGTCCGGTCACCGGTTACAATGTTTAGGCCCCTACTACATGCTGGACACTGTTGGCCTTCCACTCCCCCCTATCAGGGAGTTGGGACTAATAATATTAATAATATAACAGTTTCTGCATATTGGGTGCCCACTGTGTGCCAGACACAGGGCTTGCATGACTTTTATTTTTTCATTATTTTTATTTTTTTTGAGTTGGAGTCTCACTCTGTCACCCAGGCTGGAGCGCAGTGGCACGCTCATGGCCACTGCAGTCTCGACCTGCTGGAGTCGGGCGATCCTTCCCCTCAGTCTTCCGAGTAGCTGGACCTACAGGCACGCGCCACCACACCCGGCTAATGTTTTTGATTTATTGTAGAGATGAGGGCTTACCAAGTTGCCCGGGCTGGTCTTGAACCCCTGGACTCAGGCGATCCTCTCGCCTCTGCCTCCCAAATTGCTGGGATGACAGGCATGAGCCACAGCTGACTCGCATTACCTGTAAACTCTGCAACCTCCATCAGGGACCACACTTATTACCCAGTTTTACTGATGAAGAATTTGAGGTTCAGAAGGTTTCAGTCACTGGTCCTGCAGTGTCACACAGTGGGACAGTCAGAATTGGAACCCAGGTGGGTGGGACTCTAAGACCAGGGCTTCATCCACTGTCCAATACGGCCTCTGAGGCTGCACCAGGTGCAGGTGACTGACCCTTCTTTCTCTTCTCCCAGAAAAGTCGTTCTTAAAGTCATCGCTCAACGTCTTGAAGCACACACCCCACCAAGCCTACTGGGAAGAACTACAGAACGGGGTTGGAGGGCCCTGGGGAGACTGGGGGTTTCCGTGGGGGCAGGGGATAGGCGAGTTGGGACTGCTGATAGGCTATGAAAGTTGAGGGTTTAAAAAAAAAAAAAAAAAAAATATATATATATAAGAAAGTTGGACATGCTTTGCAGAGTGGAGGGGCGGGCAGGCAGGCTGGGGGTCCTGGGACTGCAGGGAGCGGGTGGGACATTTCAGCTGTGGCCAGAGTCAGAGTCCTGGACACCTTAGTCTCCCGCTTCTTTTCCAGCTGCCGCTGCCCCTGACGGAACTCATGGAGAATGAAGTCCTGGAAATCCTCACCAAAGCCCTCCGGAGTGAGCCCCCTCCTCACAAGCTTCCACAGGAGATCCTGGTGGATTTTGCAGGGTTTGGGCCCATGGGAGTGGGGTTTCAGGATGTGTATATCTTGTCAGACCCCCCCTTAGCACTCACAGATATTCCCAGAGCCCCACAAAAGTTAAAGGTGAGAGACGACACGGGAAGACCCAGCCAGGAGGGCATGGGGTGACAGTCAGAAGCCTGGGCTCCAGCTTAGTCCAGCTCCTCTCTACCTAATGTGACTTTTTCGGGGGGTCTCACTCTGTTGTCCAGGCTGGAGTGCAGTGGCATGATCACGGCTCGCCGCAGCCTCAAACCCCAGGGCCTGAGCGATCCTCCAGCCTCTGCCTCCCAAAGTGGTGGAGTTATGGGCCTGAGCCACTGCGCCGGCCCGCTGTGGCTTTTCTGGGGCTGTTTCTTCACTGGCCCAGTGGGATGACAGCTTTTGTGTGGCCTCGGCTCCCTGTCCGGTAGGGGAGCAGCGAGGAGCCTTCGGACAGTGGATTATTAGCTTACGATAGGAACGTCCAGCGGGGAGAAAGAAAAAGTCAGCTGATGGCGTAACGGTCTGGAAGGTGTCCGCAAGAGCTGCTAGCTACCCTAGCTCAGGCCTGCTCCATCTCCAGTCTCGCCCTTATCTTAACTACCAGCACCCTGGAGAGCCAAAGTTCCCTGAGCTAATACAGACCCGAGCGCCCTGTGCTGGGCCGCTACCCCAAATCACCTGCGGTTCTTCGAACCCCGCTGGGTGGGATAGCTCTGCCCCCCTTCTAGGCTACCGGTCAAGCATCGGCAGGGACCACTTCCTGACCAAGGAGCTGGAACGGTACATCGAGGGGCTCAAGAAGCGCCGGCAGCAGAGGCTGTGCGTCTCAGCGAGCTAAGGACGCCGCCTCCGGCTCGAGCAGCAGTCCGACCCCAGCCCCGCATCCTGTCGGGTCCCCGGACCCGAGCCCGATCCCGTCCGAATGCAATTTGAGCTCCGAAGAAATAAAGGAGTTTGTGCACGGTCCGCGAGTCAGTGCGTGGCAGCTCGCTAGAGGCGGGCGCACGTGGCCCCGCCCATGCCCGTGACCTTCATTCGGTCACCGCAGTGACCTTGAGCTTTCTCCGCCGGGCCCTGTCGGCCCTACCTTCCAGGGACTCGCCACCCGGGGCTTCCTGCACGTGTTGGGGCGGCTTCTCCCACCCCGGGCTCCGCAGCGCGCTGGGGACACTACGGCTCGAGCGCCCTGCCGGCGTTGCCTGGGGGGG